GCTGAAGCAAGACACGTATACTTCGCTTAAAAGCTGTTTTCTTTCCCGATGGTGGAGTGAAAGCTTCGAAGCGGAGCTTTTTCGACTTTGACTTTACGTTTTCAATAGGCGTACTTAATTGACGTGCTTTCAATAATTTCATTTACGGTTTAGAACAATTCATTTATAGACACGTTGTGGAAGTAGTGAATAATATTTATTATACATTTTTAACAGTTTTTATTTTGTAAGTTTTAGAAAGTTACGCAAAACTTGTCTTATTACAAGGGAATTTGCGCCGCGCGGCGAAAATTAACGCCCGCGGCCCAAATTTCGAAATGTTGCTCGGAAGGAAGTTTTCGCGTACTTTACAACACTTTGCTTTGCATCGCTAGACCTTTTGCTAGACTTTTCGCTGAGACTTTACTTCGAGCAGCTTCAGCGTCCGGACGATTAGACTTGTGTGTTGTACTTTTCGAAGCCGAAACGAACCCGAAACGAGCTTCAACTACACGCGCAGAATTCCAGCACGTTGACGTTGCATAAAGTAAAGTTGGCGCGGAACATTGAAACACGGAATATTACAGCCCATCAAGAAACCCGGAAACAAGAAAACCGAGCGCGAGTAAAGTTGAAAATGTCCAAAGGGCGAAATTCAAATCTCGTAAGCTCCGCAAACGTTTGCTAAGGCAAGTCTAATCCTAACGATCAATTTATTTCAAATTTTGACTCCTCACCATCATTATTTTCAAACTTTTGTAACTCATATGCTTAAAATAATAATAAACTAAAAAAAATTGTTGATTTATATTGTTGTCATATTTCATGTACGTCTGACCGCATTTTATGCATTGCATTTATGTTTTTTTTGGGAAAACGCAGGGCGCTGTTTTAATAGTTTTAAACGCGTGGCCATTGAATCGGGAAACGGCCCGAATCCGGCGCGACAACGATAAAATCGATTTCGTCTGCTTTTTGTGCGTGACACCGACGGTTTTGTATTATTTTGTATCGCACTGCCAGCAAAAAAAAGGAACACACCAAGCAGGAGCGGCGTTCTCTTGATTTGCTTTATTTAGTGGAAACTTTCGGTCTGCCACACCGAGGATGCGCGTTTCGGGAATCGCACGTGCGAAGAGATAACACTTTCAATCATAAATTATCACGAAAACAAGTTTTTTATAGTTTTGCAATAATTTTTAATATATTTATGTAGTAGCGACATCTAGTGTTAATAAATATAATAATCGAATGGTGGATATTGTTCGCAACTTCATCCGCGTCAATTTGAATAATGAGTTGCCTAAATAGTTACATTTTTGTGTCTTGTGTTTTTTAAATTTTAATTTAAAGCATTAAGAAAATTCTATAATGAATTTTATGGCCATCTTGGTTTGATTTATATTGCAATAACTATTTTATACCCTATTTTACAGCCATCAATATAAATTATTAAATTTTGCAATAAAAAGTACGCTATTTACATTTCTTTGATCAAAATATCTTATCTTTCTTACTCCAAAACTAATTAATATTGGTTGAGTGGCTTCCGTATGAACCCATCACAAATAAACAAACAAAATCCCATTTGCATTAATATTAATACTAAGGATTTCTGCATTAGAAACAATAAAACTCAAAGAAAAGATAATTTTCCACTAAATTAAAGTAAAGTAAAAGACAATTAAATTCATCGGTGCACTGGGCTGGTGTGTGGGTTTAGCCGCAACAAATAATACACCGCACCAGATAATAATAACCAGCCTAACGAGCATCGAATGAAACTTTTATTGACTCCCGGCAGCTTTTTTACGATCGCCGCGCCGATTGCATACAGTTTCGTAACGCGTGTAACAACAACTCATAGTGCACCGCGCATAACAAAACGTTTTCGATAATAAAAGTATGATTTACGGCGAGCTTTATTTACACTATGCATATGGTGGACGACGGCCGGGCGCGAGATGTTGTGCTGGTTTCGGTCACTGGCATCCTTTGGCTTCTACAAGCTCGGAAGAAATCGCTCGGCGTAAAATCGTAAATCAGCCGCTTAAACAATATTAATCCGGTGCTTTATTATAATAAAAACGAGCGCTGGAATTTTTATATGTTGCACGAGGCGCACACCTGCGACACCGACAAGAAATTATTAATTCAAGATTACGAAAAACCGACTCTCCGACGGCCAAAACCAACAATAAATTTTTCTTCGCGCCGGATTTATTCGAAACAAGATTTGTAACATTTTTGTCCGGCGAAAACTTGAATAATTGCTGTGGGACGTGGTCAAAATTATAAATTTGTCAATAAATTACTTCAATACTTCATAGAGGTCGTTATGTAGAAATTATGCGCTAGTGCTCATGCGCATTAAGTCGCTTTCTTACACAAACAAGTTCTTCATCGCTATAAATTGAAATTTAAGTCTGGAAAGTTTTCCGGGAAGGGAAACAAATGATACAAATTCGAAAATGGAAGACTTCAAGCGGATAGAAGAAGAAGATTCATCCCCCTATGAAGCACGCTTCATATACTCGACTACTTAAATACTTATATGCATAGAGGGGCGGCGGCGACACATTAACGTCTTGCGAGGGCGGCGGCGCTCGAGTATTTTCAGAGAAAACTTCGTTACACACCGGTTGGTGTTGTTCCACCAGAAACGCAGCGCATCGAGGTGTTTTTCTTCGCAAAGCTCGCAAAGCTCTTAAGACGATATACGCGAACAAATTTCGGGGGTGGTTGCAACCGGGGCTGGCAGATGCCAATTAAGTAAGTACGTCACAGTCAAAATTCTCTTTTCGAAAAATCGCAATTTTTACCGAGTTGAATCTTTGATGCTTGTTTTGGTGTTTAAGTTGAGGCACGTTTCGCGTCAACATGTTGTCTCCGCGACGTGGCAGACGTCTTGTCCGCTCTTGAGTTGTCGCCTTTTTGTCCACACTTCCTTCTTCTTCTTCCCAGCGCGCTCGCTTTCTGCGAATTCGTGATTTTTTCGCATTGGCGCGACATTTAAATGCCGCGCTTGAATTTAAATGCACACACACGTACACAGGTACGTGTTAGATGCGTTTGATAAGCGTCTAAGAAGTCCGCAGCAGTCCGCGCCGAGTTTGAGTCGCAGCTCTCCGGCTAATCAAAGCGAAATTTATGGCAAACCTTTTATGCGCGCAAGACTTTCGAACCGTGTTGGTCTCGTTTGTTGCCGATTTTTTCCCTCCGCAAACGTTCGACGTTGCTGTTAATATATGCGTGCGAGCACGACATGCACATTGCACATCGTCGGAGCTTGATGTGTGGTGAGAGAAGAGAGTGTAAAGTTAAATCGAGACCCCGCGAGAGTGTGATTACCATGTGTGGGCAACGTGCACGATTTTCGCGCGCGTGTTTTATTGTGTAGCGCATACAGTATGTCTTTCAAACCATCCACTGCGCATGCGGACTAGCGCTCACAGTATTAACTCCCTAGTAGGCGGAGCATACACACATGTTAAATGCAATAAAAGTTGAGTTTTGTTTGAATCGCCGGGTTTAAACTATTGCACTTCGCATATCTTCAACACTTCTACAGCTAATGGCCGACTGTGAGACGTATGAGTGGGCAGTGGACAGTGGACAGGTTCGCCCTGCGCCATAGGGTCAAGCCCGGTCAAGCCCGGCGGGCGTCCGATCATCATCGTTCGTCCCCGACACGACGAAACTATTTCGCGCGCCGCGTTCGCTTTCCGCGTGATTTTTTTCTCCTGCGTCTTCTTCTTACACATCATCGCGATGGTGCATTATGTGCACCTACCTAGACTCAACCTTGGAATCCTCGGATTAAGATCAAGAATGAGATCGAGAGCAAAGGTCAAGAATGTCTAGATTTAATAGTCGTAGACTATTATTATTAACAACTGAAGTTATCGTATGGTAGACGATGTTTTTTTGGTGGTAGAATAGGACTTTGGCACTTTCCCACTTCCCGGATTTCCTCTCGCCAGTTTTCTTTCAAAGTCCGAACCAAAGCGGGTTTAGGTTGTTGGATGTTGTGTCTGTGCGCGGCAAAAAAAAAACGAAAACAAAAAAAACGTCCTGCACGCTTCGCGCTTGTGCTCGTGGGCGCAGGAAGCGTGTCATAAACTCATTCAACCCAGTTTTGTTTTATTTTTTTGCTGATCTACGGATTTCACTGTGTTTGCGGGTTCAAATTCACTGCGCGCTCATTTTTTGTCGATCGTTTTGTCCTCGCCGCTTTCCTCGTTTTGTTATTCGCGTGGTTTTTCATTTCGTACGAAAAACGCGCGGTTTATGCGTTTTCAAGCGCTTTTTTCCCCTGGCTACAGATTCCTCATCTTTTTATTCTTTTTATTTTTTAGTATTTTTACGGAGGATTTTTTTGGGTACGCGTGCGAAAAATTATTGCCATTGTTTGCGATATTGCGTGTCTAGCGTGTTTATTTCTGGTTTGGTGATCGCGTCGTGCAACGCCGATATTGATATAATCGATAAACTAATATTGAATTGCACAATTTAGTGTCGTAAATCATCGGCGTGCGGAGCGGTGGTGCGCGAGAGCGGAACAAACGGGCTGGAACCGGAACGTTTTGCGCCGTTTTGCACCGGCGCCCGGAATACACAAACCCGAATTTCCTCACACCCAATGATGCAATCCAATTACGAATTTAATCAAAATTGGGACATGTCATTGTCATCCAAACAACAAAATGCCTCAAATTTGCGGCAGGAAATTAAAAAATCGACGTATTGATAAATATTGTCTTTATTCTCCTCTGCGTGCTCCAAAATTCAGTGGGCAATAAATAATCAGTATGTAAATTTTGCGCGCGTGAAATTGCTGATCAAAGATTAACATCTCGAGATGCTGCGCGTGACCCACATCCGCATGCATTTTTCACGTCCACTTTGGCCGGCGTCCAAACATGAGCAAGTAAAAAAATATTAATTGCACGAGTCAAGATTTCACGAAATCTCGCTTGGCTCTTGAGATAAAATTAAATTATCCTGACACTGACACTTACCACAATCACTACGAGACGCAGGAGAAGAGAGAAGGCTCCTCTCACACTATGGACTATTAATCCTATGAACAAAGTGTTCTCCAGCCGAGTTTGTCTTAAGACGCTCTGCTGCTTGCTCTCCGCCGATATTAGTTTGCAGTTACACACAGCGAGAGGCGTCGCGCGACAGGGACACTCGCTCACTCGACGCACTCCGGCGTCGTATTGTCGTCGCGAGCTGTTTAGTTCGGGAGATAATAAACGCCGAGACACAACACAATTACGCCGAGGACAATGCGGACAGACAGACAGGAGAGCACCGCGGTTTTGTCACGGAATAACAGCGCCGAACACAGGAACGCTTTTAAATCAACAACAACAACATCAACAACACACTGCCACCAAAGACGCACACGTCAGGATCAAAATTTGTTCATCTTGAAGCCCGGAAAAGTGTTGAAAAGTTTTCAAAATTGTACGCAAGTCTTCTCGCGCAATTGGCGTATGATATTCGCGCGGTTGGCGTATTGTAGTCGTGCAGATTCGCGTGGTTTGCGATTCGAAAGAGACGAACTGGCGGACTGATGGTTCGCGGTTCCTGCGGAGGAGAAAAGCCGGCGCGCGCGCTCCCACCAAACAAACGCCGCGCGTCGCTGCCACTGCCCGGCCATTTGCGAGGCGGCGACGACGGCGGCGGTGGCGGTGGCATAGGTACGTGCGCGTTGCGCTCACCTAAAGAAACTTCTTTTACTTATTGATAGAAATTGCAAGGCTTTTCACCCAAACAAAAAAAAATAAATATAAAAATAAATGAAATTAATTTCCGGTAAAAAATAGAAAAGAAGGGTTGTAATTAATGGTTCTTAAGTACCACTTCTGAATATATCTGCCTGCGGTCGCCCCTCCACGGAAATGAACGATTTTTATCCCTTTCTCCCCATTTTGGCTTTGCGGCAACATGAAATATATCTCGCACCTGCGGTATTTCCCTTCACCCTTATCCGAAGGACCCGTTTGCACAATTCGGTGTATTCGAATTCGAATCTGTTGTCATTTGAAGGCACGCACGTTGCGGCCGTGTGCAATCAGTGCGAAACCCTAACAATATAAAATCTCTCCCTTTTTCATCCCTGGAATGCTAGCAGGTATCTCAATATCGGCCGAAGGTGTTTTACCAAAGATGCATTTTTCTTCCTGTCGATTTGCACGTTGGGTAGACTTTTTCCCTTGAAGGGTGCATAAAATTCTCATTACTCCAACCGCAGGCTGATGAATGTATACAAAATTTGAATAACAACAAAATAAACCACTAGAAAAACTATACTTTTACCTGTAGAGAAACTTGTAATCACTCCAGATAATATTCAAGCCCTAATCTTAATGTTAATGTTAATGCAGGTGTTGCCTTGGTTTCAGGTGTTGCAGATTTTCGTTCTTGGGGGTGCATACGAATTACATTTAAAAGTGAATTTGAATAATTTCGGCATTCAACGCCCCAACATTCCAAAATCCAAGCTTGCAGATTTTCCACCTTTCAAGAAACGTGGAATAAAAAAAAGTTAATATCGAACGTACCTAATGAACCGGCATTCATTTTTCTCAGGAGCGCCGGGGTGAAAAACGTGCCCGAAGGGTGTAACCGCGGCGCGCCGAATTCCGAACGTTTCATCGACCCTTTCATTTCGTGCGCGTGTTTCCCCCCAGCTCCACGGATAGTGAAATACTAAAGCGGGGGCGAACAAACGCGCAAGGGATGCGAATTATCATTAATATCATCAACGTCATCGGATGCGATGCGCGAATCGCATATAGATTGCAGATAGCACCACGGGAAGATGCGCCATAATGGATAAAACAATAAAACAATACAGCCAGGGTTAGGATATTCGGATATAACCACGGATAAGGGGGATGGTTTGGTGAGAAGCCGAAAATTCATCCCCGAGGACCTCTCGATTATGTTTATCAATCGCGAATATTGCGTGCGGAATGAAAATGGAAATATGTAATAGCACCACACAAAACGCACCCCTTAATTTTCTTAAGGGTTGCAGACATATCCTCACGTCGTGGGCTAAAACTAATTCGCCGACAAAGAAATTACATTAACTTTGCTGTTATATTTTTTTTCTCTCTGCTCAGAAAATCCTGATTCGTTTTGCGTTGATTTGCGAGCCCCTAAGGGTCGCCGTTGGTTAGTTATGGTTTCCTCGCGGCGATAAAATCGAGCGATGAATGCTCGCCGGGCCGGGGACGGGTCCGCTGATTATGCGTATTAAAATAATTCGAGTGGGAGTTAAGATTTTATCGCGCTTGCCTTTTGCCAACATGCCGCCCCCGCAGTACGATAACGCCAAACACAAACATTCGCACAGCTGTCGGGTGTGGAGGAGTGGGGGCACATGGTATGTGGTAAAATTGTGAAAAATTAGTCGGTCGCTGGAGGATTTTACGAAATGAGCGTCCTGCTCGTGGCCCGTGGACCGACGACCAGAAGCGGTGCGGTGCTTTTGTCGGGGAGGCCCGGCGCGCTCGTTTTATGCGTTTCCCGGCTCGCTTTTAATGCAATATCGATGTCGGATCAGGAGTTTTAAAAGCTTTTCAAGTTTACTTTTAATTCCTGGCCCGCGCGCGTCCTCACGGTTCACGGTGTTACGCTCGTCATCTTTTTCACCAACGTCTTTTCATCATCCAGAACGCAATTTTTATCAGTTTAGGAGCGCTTTTATTTCTGTCGAATATAAAATTCATTGAATAACTTTCAAATCGAATCAAATTTTAAATAAAAATTAGGTCAGCATAAAAAAAAGGAGTATAGGTTTTGGCACAAGTGTTACATGAAGGTTTTTTTTGCAATGTCCTTGCTGGAAAGCTTCAAAACAAGCTTACGGATTCCAAGAGCAGCCTGCTGCGCTGCAGGAGGTGCTCTTCCCGTTTTAGTTGATGCGCCCATTAAACGAAATGGAATATTTAAATTTATGGGGACACGCTAGATATTAAAAGAACGTTTTTACGACGATTCATCAAATATTTACGCTGGCCTCCTTTTTTTTTCTTCGACATATTAATAATAATCCACATGAAGAGAAATTAAAGACAAAACCATGAAAATTAAAAAGAAAAACGACTTGTTAAAATCTCGTGAATTTTTTTTTTTAAAGTTTTGTATAATCAGCAATTTTTTTCTGTTTTTCGACGTTTCTGACTGCTTTAAAGATATATTGCCCCCTTCCTTCAATAATAAAACTAAACGCTGATGGTTGTCCCCGAAATGAAAATGCGGCGAAAATGCAAAACCGCACGGATTTTATTGTTGCTCCGACCGGCCGCATACATACGTTTGCAGCTTCGGGAATCTCACCGAGAAAGAAAAAGCCGGCCGTGTCGGGGGATGCGCTTGATGTCGGACGTTTGGGATGGACGTCGGCGCGACGTCGGACGAGTCGTAAAATTTAGTGTCGTCCGAGCGACCACAATAAGTCGCGTCCGCGTCAGCGTCAGCGAAAAACACGGAACGTGCCGAACAACAATAGAAAACGCTCAAATTGTTCAACTGCTCGCATGGACAAATCCTCCAAAGTAGCAAGTAGCAAAAAACGGTAACTGGTAGCTAAAAGCTTTTTAACAAATCAGGAATTCTCGTTCCTTAGATCACTTAGACCACATTTTGATAGTTAATGAGGTATAAAGATTAAAAGACTGTAATCAAAGCAATAAAATGAAGCCCACCCATGAAAAGACGAATTGATCAATAGTATGATTAGTGTAAATGTGATATATTTTTGATTCCCACCGGAAATGTAACGATCGAAGAAATAGCTTCTTGTTCGCTTTTCGGGCTACCAGATATGATTTATGGTGTTTTAAAAAGAAGGAAATAAACCTAATTGCCCCACAATTACGGCTGCGTGTAACCGCTCGGTGGTCCCAGTGTGCAATATAACTTTCTTTTCTTTTCAGTTTCAGATTTATTGTTCGATTTGCGTCTTCTTTGAAAACTAGAAAATCGCTTCTGACATTTTGCCATTTGCAAGCAGACTAGACGAATTACGCCAGACAAAAAGGTCATAAAATATTTAGAACATTCCATTCTGTGACAAACAGGTCATAAACTACTGACCGAATTTCTGCAACCGGATTATTTCCGAAGAAAATCCCTGTCGAGGAAAAGTTGTGTAAAGTATTCTTTGCTATTGTTTGCCAAGTGTCGTAAAATTTGGTTACACTTCTTTGACGTCTCAATTCACCCGCCTGGGCATGTGCTAAGTGCAAGATGTGATTATTGTCAAGCCCACATTTACAGCCCTACTGCCCTCAATAACTAGGGTCATAAATTAAGTCATTGGCATGATTTTTTGACTTTTGTCTGTTGTGTTTTTGTTGGGCATTTTGAAAGGAGTAAAATGGAACTAAAAGTTTTAGTTATCTTCTAGTTGCCACCAAAATGATTTGTGGCCACGAAAAGGCTTCCAAATCAAAGTCTTTCGAATGTTGCCCATCGCTGAAGAGCTTGAGGGCATACGAAGAACCCACGTTCGGGCCATAACGGACTCGCGCATACCGGTACGCGCGTTCATCGTTCATTTGCTCATGCTCATGCTCATGAGAGTCATGGGTGTAATACTTGCTTGCCAAATATACAATATGTTCAAAATAATTAAATTTAAGTCAATTAAACCTCCATAAAGTAAAAAATTGACCAATAAATGACTAAAAATGTTATTTTTAGGTTTTAAGAGGTTAATTGACTATTCAAAAATATTTTTAAATGTTTTTGGTTGATTTCTTGAAACAAGGTGTATGGGAACACTGGTGGTTTTGTTCCGAGGGCGAAAAAAATCAGCCCGCGAGCGACGACGCGCACATCGATAGATTAACTCGTGTGGGCGAAGCCATTCTTCTCGTTCTTCATTTTGTTCCTCATTGCATGTTTCGTTTTGTTTCCACGCGTGCAGCATCTCCTCAATTCTTTCGCCGGCGCACATCGATTCTTCAATTTCTTTCCTTTCGCTTCTTTTTATTATGCGCTTAAAATTGATGGGCCAATATAAATTTTACTTTTTAACGACGCGTCCGAAAGTCAAAGACGAACCAAAAAAAACTAGATGTACCGTTCCAGCGTCTTGTGTGCTTGTTGTTGCCTGTCGTATTTTGTCATCAGGCTAATGGAGAATTGCATTTTTTACGTTTTCATTAAGCAGCGTAAATTATTCGCATTTTAATCGAAGCGAAAGCTTTTTTTCGACACAGACTTAGAATAATTGTTTGATGTTTCTCCGGTGGTGGGATGTTTGCTCTCAATTGCGAATTTTCTTTACGCTAGACGTTGGCAGACACTGCGACATTGCTCTTCAATACTTTTCTCATCTATTTATTGTGTCACGAGCAGAAATGACGCCGTCGAGCGCTTCTTTCCGGAAGCCAGACGGCGACAAAAAAAGACATTAATTATCAAAGCCAGACGAGTAACTAACTGCTGGCTGGTTGTGCAGACTGTGTTTTTGAACGTTTCATCGTAAGTCGCACAAAGCTTGATTTTGTGTTTGTTTCATGTGGAGAATCAATTTACACAAATTTCGGGTTCATAAAAATTACA